TGTGTGTGTGTTGAAAACTGTAGCTAATGTCGCTACCAAGCTACAAGTATTTAACCCAGAGACAATAGACAAATACATGTATAGGTGCAACTACCCAGCGCTTGACTCGCTTGACGAGAAATTGAACACAGAACACAAAGTGCGCGGCAAAGCTGCACCGCTCCGCTGCACCAGGTTTCGCGCAACATAGTCCGATCCTCGACGCGCAAATGCCAGAGCGGAGCTACCTCTATATGAAGCCATCTGACTTGGAGGAAGTCGAGTGTGCTGTCGCACGGTCGCTAAGGACGGCACCTTGCTTGAACGAAACGGCTAGTGCACCACCTTAACTTTAATCAGCATGCTACATGCAGCTGCTCAGTCCCTGCTTCACTGCAGCTTCTCGGGATCGTGCGGTCTGGCGTAACTTCGACACTCCATGTGTCCTGCTCTGCTGTCTCATTTTGTCCATCCTTGCACTGGGCCGTGATTGTCTTGGTGGCCACTTCCTGTTGTTTCACCGGCCTCCCCTGCAGGTATGGCGAAGGCCGACCTGGGCGTCCAGCCGTGGAGATTACAACGGCGAGTTCCAGAGAAGCGCGCCGTATCCTTTCTCAACCCGATATGCATGACAAGACAGGAATAGACAGGATGAGACGGCAGGAATATATATATATATAATTATATATACCTAGGTTTACTTAATGCCGCATGCGGGACCAATCGCATATCAAAGTACAGGCTGCAAGCGATCTGATCTGCAGAAGTCGTGTTCTGTTTCGGCTCTTTGTACGAGTATATCACTGTGAGCTCTTGTAAGATAAGCCCACAAGGCCTGAAGATCATGTTGCGGGCATGCGTACAACCGACTGGAGACAGGAATCTGAACAGGGCTTGAAAGCCTGAAGGGTCTGCTAGATCTGCTTTGTTGCAGATGCATACTCGGTGACTCTGTCGAGAGTTTCTGCAGGCAGCACTTGGCTTTAGGGTTCCCAGCAACCCGGCTGAGACATCGCCGCACACCACGCTTCCCGACCAAGCAGTCTCGCAGCCCTTCCAGGTGCAGAAGAGCTCAAGAATCGGAAGAACCCCCTCGGCTCGGCCTCGCGTAGAGGTCGGAAACGCAAAGTCGTTGCGTGCCTCGTTGGGATGCCCGCAATAAAAAAACTCGTAACACCCGAAGAAGCAAATGAGGCCTGCGGGTGCTTCTTTACGCCTGATCGAAGCTTCTTGAGCAAGTCGCTGAGGCAGAAACGAGTCCGAGGACTCGTGAACTTCACGTGGGCGCCAGTGGACCTGCGGCAGCGATATGAGGCCACGATAACCTCCCAACCCACTACAGCTGGATGCCTCGATGGACTGATCGCCAGCAAGGCGCAGTCGCCGGTGCTCCTCGAGGCACCTGATCAGAATCTGCGTGCAGGACTTTCTAGCAACTGCCCAAGTTTGCTGCCCCACGCACCGCGGCCAAGACACAGCTCGATATCCAGAGTCGAAGCATTGGTCAAGACCAGCCGGGGGCGCAAGGTGATGACCTCCCCCGACAAGGCACTGCCCTTCGCTTGGCTAGGCAGGGCCAGAAGCCGCATGCAACCAAATGCCACCCACACCTGGCATCCAGCAGAGAAGATGTTCCCGGACTCAGTCTCGAGGATGTCCGAAACCTCTGGGCAAACGCACCAGAGGTGTTTGCCGGGAAAGCTGATCCCTAACTTCCGTCACGGACCTGGCCAGGCCGACCCTGCTCCATGTTTCGAGCCATACTTTTCTGAGGCGTGGGCTTGCAAACAGAAGCTGAAATCGCCGCATGGGGTTTCCCAGAACAGGGTTGCCCAACCTCCCGGCCACAAAGGTGCAAACAAGTAACTCAGAACGGAATGCCTGCTCGAGGGGTCTGCAGATGCAAGCTGCCGGCATGCACCGCTGAGCGCCTCCATGCAAAGCAAGCTGGGCGCCGGACTGCTTGGCGATGGAAGGCCTAAACGGGTACTAACACCGTGCAGCAACCCCCAAACCCCTTCGACATCCTGCGACTGCTTCCATGGTTGTTCAGGACTAGATCCGAGGTGGCAACCCAGAAGCGCCAATGAATCATGCTCGCTTCCTCGGTCGGGCCACGGGCTACATGCCCACTCCCCCAGCGACGTCCAACATCTCACAGTGACCGTGATGCTGCACCATGTCGCATGCGGGCTGCATGTTTTTCGTTGAGCTGCTCGCGAACGGACTGCGCTTGGCTGGAGGCTCAGCAGCTAATAAGATCAGCATGAGCTGCGTGAAACGATATGCACACGATGCCCTGCCAGCTACCGAGAATTGACGGGCACAGTTACAGAAAGTGCCACAAAGCAGCCGATCTTTTGTGCCTGCACAAGCAGCGCCAGGCAACTGCTGAGTAGCTTCTGTGCTCCGGAAAAAACCTTGCAAACGGCCTGGCTGCCGCAGAAGTTGGTTACAGTTGCTGTTGCTGTTTTGCACCGAGTTGCGGAAGGGTCAGCATCGAAGGCAAACTTTGGCCCCCCTCGGCTGTGAAGAGACGGAGTGTGGGTCGGTGCAAGCAGTCAAGGAAAGACATACAGCATACCAATGTTCAAGTATCACATCGACCAAGGAGCAGCCAACATCACGAGCGCACATCCTCAGCAAATCTTGATGCTCGTCGAACAGTTCTTTTCCCCTCCGGCGCGGCGTCGGTCACACTTCAATAGCATAACAGAAAGAAGAAAGGCTTGCATCACAAGACTTTCTTTGCCGAGTTGCCCATGTGGCCAAGGCGCAAGCCTCCAGCCCTTAGCTGCACACCTATAGTTGGCAGTACCTAGTATACCTGCCACTCATGGGACTAAAACCCCTTGCCGGGTGTCGCCGACTGCCACTCTGGCACCTTGGGCACACCAACAGTGTAGCCTCAGCCGCAGAAGGGCAAGCAGTACCCGAAGCCCCAGGTTGTGCTCAACATCCTAAACAAAAAATGGTTCGTGGGCACAGCGCCTTAGGCTCAGGGGCCACGGCGGTACTAACAGCACTTCTTACTTACTCAGCAACACAACGAGACATGTTCCACAAACTGCGCTCATACGTCAATGAGGCTTCCAATTCGAGCACAGAGTGCTGCGGCACTCACCTTCTACCGTGCATGGAAAGCCTGTGACGATGGAGAGAAACAGCCATGATGCTCGAAGCACCATGTAAACGCAAGCAAATGCCATCAACGCTCTAGCGTGTCATGACTGTCATGAGTCATGACAACTTCTCTGGCCCATATGACTTCCCAAACCGCTCCCCTGCTGTCACTTCCCAGACAAATCAAGCATCCACCGCTGCATACATGACCAGGGTTACATCCAAAGTTATTTCCCCCATGTAAATGCAAATGAGGGTTGGGGGCGACCTCTCTGGACACACTACAAGGATTCGAGCAGAGTGGGAGCGACCAGCGCAGCAATGCTGCCTTTGCCCTGACAGCACGATCTGAGCTGCACGAGTTCTCAACATGACTGCTTGCAGGAAGCGGTCATCGGCGGAGTTCTTCCACTCATCATCAGGCTGCCCGCGCTCTTTAACCAACGCCTGTGATGGGGCCGGAGGCACATATGCCAGGAAGGACGCAGGACTCTGATCCACTGGCTGCTGCTTCTAGTTTGGGAACGAACTATCAAGCCCAACGCTGTATACGGTCCTCTGTCAGCTTGTCGTGAAGCTGCGGCTGCAGGTTGGTATACGGACCAAGCATGCACGGACATGGCGTTGCTATAGCCACCTGGCTGGACGTTCAACCCACCAACAACCGTCCAAGCTTGTGTGCTCTCTGGCACCCGCCTCAGAATGATCGGGCATGTTCCACCATCTCTTTCCTGCGAAGCGATGCGAATCCCATGTAGACTTGTCTATGTGCACATCGCAGGGCATAGTCATAGTCTCCAGGCAAAGCATGGCAAAATCATGGAATGCTGCATGTGGGTTGCATGTTGTGCATTGTCGACGATTCACACGCAGAGCGACGGGCCTGGCTTCATGTCCCCCAGGGGGCCATTCGATTTCATGAACCCCTGAGACGACAACATGGCTGCCACGGCTGTTGCCCAAAAGCTTTCACGTGGAACTTCACGCCTTTGCGCAGCCGTAGTCTGCCGAGTAGGGCTCGCTTGCAGGGTGATACCTGCGGTTCACGGCGCTGAAGCCAAAGACCGCCACGCTTCACAGGTGCAGGCCAGCTGCAGGCCACCGATTCCAGCGGCAGTGGCGAGTCTGCCGGCAATGTCAACACCTGAAGCCACGAAGCTGCAAGCGTCCGATGCCAGTTCATCCAAGTTTCTGCTCATCTACGACCGCAGGCTTCCAGCAGTTCCCCGACGGAGGCACCCATCGCATTGAAGGACAACGGCGTTTTGTCGTCGTGGCTGTTTGATGCGAAGGAAGAGTCGGGCCTCATTACAGCTCCAAAGTACTCTGCTTTGACCAGTGCCACGTGTTGCCGCATCGTTGCATGACATCGAGCCCCTGGCTTGGAGGCATCATGCGGCGAAGAAGCCTGCCTTGTGCAGGAGCTTAGCATAAAGACCCTTGGTAATAGTCTTGTGCGACTACCGGCGCCAGCTTAAGTCGCGGACTGCGGTGTCACTTGGCTGTCTGTTCCGCTCCTTGTACTCCCGATTTCCGAACCATATCGAACAAAGCCATCTATCTCTGCAAACATCGCTGGCATGAGAATCCCACGTAGACCCTGCGGCGTCGTGAAAGAGCGGAGGCAAGGAAGTGTGCACATCCTGGACAAGATTCTTGGAAGAAGGAGCACAACGCACAAATTTCAACTATCCCGGTTCAGAACGAAGTCCTCAACTTCAGGCTTGGGCCATTGTGCCCATAAGCCACTTGGCCTTCTCAGAGTCGCTGTGCAGTGCACGGCCATCAGATCGCTCTTCGGTTAGGTCAACAGACGCTGCGATCTGAGATTGCGTGCTGCAGGGATCCCGAGCTGTCACGCCAGGCCTGAGGCAGGCGCACGCCTCACGCCCATCCATCTCCCGAGCCTCTCAACATCAGAGGGCCTTGTTGAAATAGCCGCCCGGACAGGGACAAGGCCTGAATCTGAGCATCTGACAAACAGAATGCTGAAGCCCGATGATGCCGGATGGCTTCTGCAATAGGCACCAGGCAGAACAAGGAGCTTCGGTCGTATCTCCAGGCTGGCGCCGTAGCCTGTATGCGGCGGCTGTCTGATCTGACTCAACCTGTCAGATCCCAAGATGAGGTTCCCGCGGAGACCGGGCAGCTCGTCGCCCATCAACTTGGGTGGGCCGCCTGCACATGACCAGTCGTCGTGCCTTGGCAGAAGTTCCTCTGAAAGCGCCGGGCTTCCTTTGAGAGCTAAGGCAGAGCCAAACTTAGGGGCTGCTGGCGCCAAGAAGCATCGTGTGCTTGGCGACTTCCTCGAGGAGCTCCTGAGAGCGCAGTGTGCTTTTCTTTTCTTTCTTTGCACTCTCAGATAAGTCTGCCTGGCTGTTTGCAAAGGTCTCTTTCGGTGTGTGGAAGAAGACACGGGGGGGCGTGGGCTGTGCGAAACCTGACCCTCATTCTCACACCAGGGCTCAAGCACACCTTCAACAAGTACAACTACCCTTGCAACGGCTCGTGGTTACTACTTGCTATCTGAGGTGCTTCTTTGTTGACGCCTGGTGGAATGGCAGGCCTCAGCAGCCATGAGTCGATTCTGCAAGATCCAACCAATGCCAAGCCGGACTTTGTAGATGTATCCGTCCAAGTCGCATGTCCTTCATCTGCTCCAACATGACATTCCGGGTGGCCATCAACTCCGTGCCTGTTGCTGTCATGGGTCTCATGTCGTCATGCCCTTGCACGAAATTCCACTTGTTAACATCACCAGCTGGCGATGCATCCATGTTGCGAAGACCTCACCAGCATGTATAAGACCCTGTACAACAACCCCGCTCTGTCTGTGGCCCCCAACCCCAAAGCCCCCGAGTCAAGCAGTGGGATTCGGGCTCCCGTATACATCCTGAATACCTTAGGAGCTCTGTCAATACTTTCCAGCATCAACTCACAAGACAACCCCTATCGTCCTTCCCTCGTCTCTGAAATATCCGGTGGGCTATGTGCACAGAAACTGCCCGGCCTGCTTGCAGCATGGTTGACAACCAGAAGATCAGCGTCGGCTGAAGAGATGTTGCACAACGGGCTTCCCATGAAGGACAACTAGACAAATTCGGAGTTGTCCTGCGATTTGAAATTTACTTCGGCGGTTTTGGCGCAAGTAGCTCGGGAAGTGGCTTCACCCGCTGAGCTCACGCACAAACGACTCCCTGGCTTCAGCCTATTATAGACTTCTAAAGCATGCCTCAACAACTGTGGCATGATTGCAAGATCAGACTGCCATACTGAATCTAGATTTTGGCTGCAGAAAGCCATGTCTGGAGTTCTAGTACTTCCTTGGCTGCGGCAGGTCCAGTTGGCACCGCAAGTCCGCGTGAGCACATGATCACCAGGCAAAATCGGGCATCCAGCGAAGGAGCAGCTCACAGTGCTCTTGCAAACCGTTCACAGGGAGCATGGTGACCTTCGTGGCTGCCAGGGCAGTGCGCGTTCCAACTGTTTCATACACCCCAGTTTCACCCTAGTCTTCGGGTTCGAGAACGAAGAAATCGATGCGATGCGACTCTGAGAAGATGGCGCCTTTATCGTGCGGCAAAGGCTTACCGCCTCAGCCGAAACGGCGATGTGAAACGCAGTGATGCGGCAACAAGGAGCCGGGTGCTCGGCCATGAAGAACGCTGAGAGCCAGCGGCTTCCCAATTCTCGAAGTGTCACGGGCGCGAATGTCGCTGGCAGTGCATGCGCAATTCAACTGCAAACAACTGAGGTGGCTGCCCGGATCGGTCCAGAAACCAAAAGGGGCACGTGATGCGAATCTGCAGAGCCAAGGAGGTGTGGCAATAAGAAGGATCCGATCAGGTCAGGTCGACCCTCTCCAAGTAAGTCTCTTCGGACAGTCAACTGCTTCTCGATGGCATGCCAAGCAAAAACACACATTTCAGGCTCGCCTCTGCTTGGCCGCACCTTGTCGTGGAGCACCATTTGCAGGGAATTAAACGGTTAAAGTGTTAAAGGTTCAACCATGTTCAAACCTGTGAGGCTCCGACACCTCGACCAAAACCCCAGCAGCGGCTCCGGCGTCGCCTCACCATTTTCGAGACTCAGGCAACTAGTGTGACTCGTGGGCACGCTTTGAAGAGTTGTCAAATACTTACAGCCTGCTAACTTAGCACGAAGCGCAATTTGGATCAATTCGGTTAGAGGCCCCTCGCTCCCATTGCTTCGTGCCTCTAGGATAGCTAGGATAAGTGGCCTACGACAAGTGGAACGACGAGAGCATGAATAGCAGGTATTACGGCAGTGCTGGCGACGGGCCGGCCCGCCTTCATGCTGCTGAACGTGGGTTGTTTTGCCAACGCCCATCAAAGACGAATCAGTTGCCTTTCAAAACACACTCTTGACTCTGCCCGCGACCAGTGCAATTTGCCGTGCCTGCTTGAAGCAGTTGGCCTGGCGAACGCGCAGCGGCGCAGCATTCGCCCGTCTTTCGTAATTTTTACGGTCCATGCACCTCGATGTGGAGCACCTCAGACCACGGTGCCATGGCGCCAAGCCTTGCAGGGCCGCGGCCATGGTCTCCCCACCAAACACACGAAGCACACACTACTCAGATGCAAGCCGCAAGCAAAGTCTCAAGCCAACCTCCTCAAGGGCACACTTCTCACTGCATCTCTTCTGGAGCGTGCACGTGGACGGTGACGGCCCTGCAGCCGGTCCTCCACCAAGCTTTGCAAGTCGTATACCCCACGCCTGGCAAGCTCAGAAAGTACAAAACAAGGCTCAACAAAAGCTCCACGCAGACCCTCCGGCCTTGAGAGCCTCTCCAAAGACGCTTGCTGCCACTGAGCGTCAGCAGCCTCGGCCTCAGTCATGAGTCGTCGTGCCAAAGAAGCTGCAAGCATGTCAGAGACGAGTCGAGGCGATTCAGGGATCACTGGCAAGAACATGTCCCGAAGATTCTGGCTTACAGCCAGCTGAGGTGATCCAGGTCTCTTCGAGCCCTGAATCTTGCACACAAGGAAATTCGTTGCATGGCACGGGATGTGAAGAAAGAATGTTAGATTTATTCCAGACCCATGTTGCAGCATGACGCTACAAGACTCAGGGAACGACGTCCCCAGCACCCGGGGCATATCGGATGCTCAGATCTCCTGGAGCCCATGTTGCAAGCACAAGAGCATTCGTGTGACGATCGTCGGCCTAGTGGAAGCGCGTTCATGAAGACCTTAGTCTTGGCCAAGGTCTGACTTGCTGACAACAGCCAGATCGACTTGCTACGATGAGGCGGCCACCAACGCAGGTCTCAAGCACACGGTGGTAGCAAGCGATTCCTAGGGCAACAGTGCCAAAGCTCATTGGGAGTGTAGCCCAAGCTCATAAGTTGCTTCGAAAGCCTGAACTACTCTGAAATACATGTTGGCAGTGTCGCGAGACACGACAGAGTATGCAAGTTTGAGGCATGGGCATGTCGTGCTTGCGGCCTGGATTGCTTGAGACTGGACAGGCGAACATCTCAAGGCTTCTTCGGAGGCACAGGTAGCGGTGACACGCGGACAGCTGTCCCAGGCAGCTGGCTCCACGACGAAAGCCGTCTCCTGCTGGCCTGCAGTGCCTGCAATCTTCAGGCTGCGAAGATCTGCAAAGAATGTGAAGGGCATGACAGAAAACGAGTTCGGTGCCTGAAGCACAGCAGAGTTGCGGGCCTTGCGCAGCCGGAGGGGCGAAACATGCGTCAGCCGAGATCGCAGCCGGGGCCCGTGCCCAGACCGCTGCCCACCTGCATCTTTGCCTCAAGCTCGCAGCGATCACGCAGCATTCGTCACATCCGAGGGTCCAGCAGAAGCAACGTCAGAGAGCAGCTGGACCTTGGAACATCGAGCTTTCGAGAACGAAGCAAGGCAAGAGTGCTCCTGTGAAGCAATTAAGGGCTCTCAAAGTGTTAATTGCCCCAACCCCTTGCAACAGGCACTTTGGGGACTCTTCCGATGCGTCGTGTTCCACTACACAGGGCCGAGTCGGTGCTGCTGCCCTGCCCGAATCGTTTGGTTCTCAGGCGTCGATTTGAAAGCCGCAATCCTTCGAGGAAACATGACACCACAGGTTTGCGGTCGTCGCTGGCCGAAAGACTTGTCGTATTTTCTCGGAAGCATCTCCGGCGCGCAACCGCATCCTGCCCTGATCATGCTCTCTTGCCGCTGCTTCAACCTTGGCTATGCACTAATTACAGCACCCATCGTGCTTGACCAATTGCTGTGCTATAACTCCTCGCTGATGCTCTTTATTTTTTCTGATTCGCTGCGGCCCTTCTGACTGCAGAGGCGCGGCAAGCTCTGTCATCAGGGCTGGACAGCACCTTCATGTCTGATGCCGTTGAACTCCCCCTTTCTTGGCACCAGGTTCTCTCATGACGGTTTGCCGAGGCCTCCCTCTGTCCCTCTGTGCCAAAGTGTCGGAGGAAGAATCCCGATTCTGAGTCCCATGGATCACTGAATGGCATGCAGAAGTCTCCCAGCAGTGTTGAACCGTTCTTGATTCCTGGGCCAGGCACTGTCAACCATGCGCGAAGGGTTCGGCTGCCTCCTAGCTGGACGTGCTGCAGAGCACAAGGGTCATCACTGATCCAGAGGGGCCTTCTTCAGCAGAGGGCCTCCGCCTGGCAAGGACTTCCCACGGGACCTCAAAATGAGGCACCGCTGCTGCCACCAAACCGGCAAATGTCTGATCTCACTACTCTCCGACAACTCTGCCGTTTATCTTGGCGGCTGGTACCCTGGCCGTGCATTCGAACTCAGCCCCAAACAGCTCCAAGGCTGTTGGGTGGAAGCACCTCGAGTAGAAGAAGACTCTGAACAACTCTTCACACAAGCAGGTTGTGCGATGCGAGCCCTGAGCAGTGGACCAGCACTCCCTCGATTCTGCCGCCCTCTGAAGCTTCACCTCAAAGCATGCAGTGACAGCAAAGCTGGCACAAGGCATCCGTCGATGGTCCATCTCAGCCGGAGAAGGGATCCTGCTGTTGTTTCGGAGCGCCCCAGGCGGCTCCTCGCGGTTGAATCACGAAGCAGGCAGAAAGCTGCGTGGCCTCCCCTGTGGCTACAAAGCAACGACGAAAGCCTCCTCCTGGGCAATGCATCCGAGGATCGCGGCCTGCCCAAGGTTCCGATTCCAGGATGCGAGGTTGAAGGCTGAAATGCCCCAAGTCCAGGTGCTTGGCATCGCAGCAGGCAGTTTGAGGAATCTCCAGCATCGGAACCTGAGAACGTGGGCGTGGGGGAGTCTTCGCTCCCTGGGGCTCGTGCCCAGCCGCCGTGCCCGTGCCTCATGCTGGACCGGGTCAAGGAAACGCAAGGCCACAGTGAAGCCCGTCCTGAAAGGCAGCTCTCTTCACATCTCTCGGCTGCGAGATATGTCAGTTGACGACAAGGACCTGTTGTGCACACGAAGAAGGGGTGCCTGAGCTGAGTGCCATTGCTCGCTTGATTGATTCGTCAGAGCTTGAGGACACAGCGAGGAGCAGCAGCCTCTGCGATGACTCGATTCGCATCTCCTTATCCAGTTGATTCCAAAACACAGCTCCGACTGGCTGAAGCCCGCAGACAAGCCACGGCAACTGCGTCAGCAGCTTCACCATTGGGAATCAAAACGTCGCCTCGGAAAGGGTAGGCATCTCCAAATGTCTCCAAGCCTGTAGGTTGAGATCTGACCCCTTACCGAAACCTTTTCCTGCATGGGCATGGAGGTTTTGCAAGCCTCTTGCAGATCCAGTGAGGCAGCACATCCTGGATGCAGGAGGATATGCTACAAGGAAAGCTGAAAGCAACTAGCTGGCTTCTGCCAGCCGTTGCAGGGCACGTGACCATGCGGAAGCATTGTATAGTACGACTCCCCTCTTTGACTGATTAGGGCCCAACGAGCTTGAAGAGGTCCCGTGCGGCTGGGCTTGCAATAATCAGGAAGTCAGCTGGAAGATTCAGCACACATCCCGAGTTACAGGACATGTCACAGGCAGTTTGCCCGCGCAAGCTGGCTCGCACCCACAGCACTGAGTTTTCAGGCCTGCTGGAGGGCGAGGGCGGTGGCCTTTCTAGCGTTGGCCTTGTGGTGTAGCGTCTATCACTTTACTTCGGGTTCACACATCAGCTCAGCCCCTTCTGACAGCATGAAGGGAGTGCGGGCACGGCAGCACAATAACATCTACCAGTTTTGGAGATGTCTGTCTGTCCGATCTGGCTCTGAGAAAAAGATGGAATCACCAGATGGCAAAGCACATTGACGAGCCGATACCCCCTTGCATTATCCATCATAGTGCCTGGGTAGTGCTGTACCACGGTTGTAGCTTGCTATTTTCTGCGTGCGATGCCATTTCCGCTTCGGGAGCTCTGTCACCTATTTGAGCACCCAGTCTGCTCCCACCAGTCGCCAGCCTGTGAAGCACCAGGAATTGAAGAGGGTGAGCTGCGGAACAGGCGTCCCGTGCTCTTCTGTTTTCAGCCCTGCCTGCCACACTTTCGGCTAATCCTGGCACGAAGACAGAAAAGCTTTACACAAAGGCTTGCATCACAGCCAGTCATACACCCCAGCAGGAAACCCGATGCGCCTGCCATTGTCTTTGAAGAGTAGGTCGTAATTGGAGGAAGGAAACCTTTCACGGTCACCCGGAACTGCACGAATGTCACCATGCGAGTGAGAGGCATCTGAATCTTGACAAGAATGGCTTTGATGGCCTTGGCTGGGGACATCGTTCGCGCGGAGGTCGTGGTCTTCCGGCTCCTTCAAAGGCCACGTGGCCGTTCTGAGGCTTTCGACCCACACCTCCACACCACTAACACCCGGCCTCGCATAGCTTTTCTGTGCCAAGGCCTGCAAAGCTTGACGATTCCTAAGTTGCCTCTGCCTTCGATCAATAGTTACCCGCTCTAGAAGTGCTTCCAGCACCATCACACGAAAGCCGAGGATTGCACACCTGCTTTTGCCACACCCCCCCAGCACGTTGGCCCGAACTAAGTGTCCATGAGAGCATCCTGCTCATGGCCGCGGTACCTCTAGCTACATCGCTGCATCAGCGCGATGTTGTCGCAAAATCAAACAACTTGCACACTACTCGCATTCTTACGCAGTGGCGGAGCAAAAGGCACAGATGCTTGAATCTGGGTTGTACTTCTGCATCTGCAACTGTACCGAGCGTATACCAGCAACAGGCCTCTCCGAGCTACTGCGGGTAAAAACTACAGCAACTTTCTTGGCAGGGTGACACCAAACACATATTTCTTGTGAAGCTGCCGGCTCTAGCTATGGGGAAAATCTTGCACTGCAGCGGTCCAGACGCAAAGCTCCCAACCACCGTCGCATAAGTGTCGAACCTCTTGCAGCTTGTCTTCAAAATCGCTGGACCGCGCTAGTGCCGGAATTGGTTCTCGCCTTCATTGAATCTAATCTATCTTCGAGATCAGCATCTGAAGATGGGATCTAGTTCCTGCCGAGCAGAGAATATAAACCACGAAACAGGGCTGTTGGGAAGTATCTTCCAGACTGAAGATTACAACAACAAAGTTCAACATGGCTGAACATAGGCTTAACATGGCGAGAGGCTGTTTTGGGCTTTGCGTGGCTCAGGCTCACCACTCGGACAGTTCTGGCGAGGCCGCCAAACGTCTCCACCGGCTTATTGGCATGATGCTTCGACCGGGCCGGTTTTGGTCAGAGTCAGGATCTTGAATCTGACAAGATCAAGACTTGCAGAACAAAACTCGAGGCAGCAGAACATATCTCGGTTTCCCACAAATCATGCGGTTGCGGCCAGGGTGTCTGCTTTCGCTCATCGGGTGTATTCTTGGGAGCCCAGAGCCCGGCGGGTTATTCCTTTTCATTAGCACATCGCGTATCCGTCTCTCCNNTAACGATTCTGACCTGTATTGGGGAAACTTGTCCAAGGCTGTGCAGCCATCGTGCATTGAACGCACAGGCCTGTACATGGAGCCAAACATCCGTTCCCAACCCTTCCTAATAAGGCGCCCTCGAGAAAATAACTAAGTTTCAGACGTGTGAGGTGGGGAGGCCTCTGCAGGAGCTCAGCTAGGGCAAAGGGATCCCAAAATAGGCTTCTGCCAGCTGTGCCTCTCTCTGCGACCCGTCACAGAAACGGCAAGAAGAACTGCACAAGTCTACGGCCATCAAGTTGCCAGAGGATGCCGTTCTAGACTCTAGTCACTGACTGGCATGCCCGAGTCCTCGATTTCCCCACGTGCTCACAGGCGTAGGTCCTTCTTGTCGGCTGTTTCCTCCGCAGAAGGCCTCGCCTGGAACTACCACAGCTTGCAAAAAAGCTCGGCGGCCGGTAGATGTCGCCACGGGAGGTCAGCGAGTTTTTATCCGCGGAAGTACAGTACTAGCAATCGTCGTCGTAGCAGTAGCAGTAGC